GCTCGTTCTACAATCACGTGTAGTTCTGTTTCGCGGTAAGTCTTTCCCTCGGGCATAACCATCATATGATGGCGTGTATTACTTCTGTCTTGTCTAGACCTATTTTTTAATATCGAGCGTGTTTTTATCGGTGATGATCCAGGCACGTTGGTCCACTGACTTCGTTGCCGTCGTTTATACCACGTCCAACATACCAAGGTAGCTGTAAGAGCTATTACGGCTAACACAGCTATACCTGTCATATGCATTGCACCCATACCGCTACTTCGAGCATCTGCTATTCCGCCTACGCAATTAGCTTCTCCGTGTTGTTTAGCTTTGATCAACCTACGTTGTCCATCCTCGACCAACCAGCACCATGATACTTGCTCGACTAAGTTTCCGGGTCGGGTGGTATCTTGCGGGTAATGCCTTGAAAACGCTACCATATTATCTCGCCATCTGGTCGAGCAGTCACATATTTTTCCCACAGTAAGCCAATCAAGTCGTGGCTTAAACCCTGCAGTGTCTATTACAAGCGCGTCGTCCTCAAAGTCCACCACGGTGTTATTCTCGAAAACGAATTCTTGGTAGTCCTCTTCTGCAATTTTATGCGAATCTAGTGTAACAGCAACAAATGCACCTCGTTCAATTCTCTCAAACCAATTGTCTTCTATAAATGCTGGACCTCGGCAAGTCACTTCAAAAGCTGTGCTTTGCACGCAAGAAGCTCGACATTCCTGCACCCGGAACATTTTAGGCCCGTGCACTTTAAACGCATAGCTTCTTATTAGACCGAAATCTACGCCTTCTACGCGTAGTTCGTCTGTTACCGTTATTTCAGTGAGCATGCGACTGGGTACGGCTTCTTCAAAACTGGAAGACTTTAACACAAAATCTTTGACGGTAAATTTTTTAAACGACTGTTGCTCTACTAAACCGAAAACAGTGTCTCGGAACTCGATTCGCGCAGTTGTACCGTGTAAGCTGCTGAAAGCGAACGGCTTTATAATGTTAATACGGCCACGCATGAATGCAATTGACCGCAAACGACCGCGAAAAGCGTAACTCGGTAATTCCAACACAGTCGTGTTAATAACGGTCACTGATAAGCCTTGTTGATGATGATGTTGAGTACTAGGAACGACCATCTCGGACCAGCTGAATGCTCGTTCAGATACTTCCAGTTGGCGCACAGATCCAATTTCGACTGTGTACAGCGACTTTGCTTCGTCAAACGCCATCGGCATTACCATTACTCGATCACAATTAATTATTGATACACTGGTTGCAATCCTAGGAATATGTCCCACTCCTTGAGCTTTCAAAACTATCTCCTAAAAACATAAAAAAAAATAGTTTTATATTTGCTTGCATAAATATATTAAAAGGCATTGGTTGATAAGAACTTCAACACCGTCGCGTAATAAATTATTCTGAAATTTAGGGCGTTATAAAAAGTTAGGATAAGATTGTTTGAACCGCTGCTTAATCCTTTTGTCGATTTCGTTGAAGGATGTTTAGGATTTTCGGGAACGGAGCACTTAGTCTGGCTCAAAGTTTATACAACAAAAATACTGTGGCGATCGTTACATTGTTGTAACTGCCTCGGCCGACCTTTAGAGTTCTTCCGGACGACAATTCCGAGGGGGCCGCAACAATATATTATGTGCGGCGGAAGTTGATTGTTTAATCTCTTCCATTTGTCTCTCAGTATTTATACTCGATTCGATCTTACGCATTTGGGATAACCGCTTGGGATTTATATAATAATAATTATTAATACATCCGTTTATCCTTGAAGTTTTATTTTCCATTTCGACAGCGTTCACAACTAACGATGACATATATGCGGTAGCAAATAGATGCTTTAGAACCCACCTCTTTTTCCTAACTCATCGATCTTCTACTCTGTTTATTCTCTTTTTCCCTTGGGTTTCTGTTTTTTTTTTTTTACGAACTACTGTCGTTTGTTAATTAAAAACAGTTTTG